TCCTCTCCTTCCCTCCTCTCCTCTCCTCTCCTCTCCTCTCCTCTCCTCTCCTTTCCTTCCCTCACCTCCTCTCCTCTCCTCTCCTCACCTCCTCTCTTCTCCTCTCCTTCCCTCACCTCCTCTCCTCTCCTCCCCTCCTTTATTCTCACCCTTACTCAGTGTCCTCTCCCCCTCTCTTCCAGTCTCTGATGTGGACGACGAGCCAGAACCGACAGAACCAGACTACACACTTAGACCAGACCTAAAGATCGACCTGATTGGTGAGTCACACACACACACACTCACACACACACACACACACACATTTGAATTAGACCAAAGTTTGTGATTGGTCGGAATGTCAATAAGAAAAGTAAAGACTTCTATTAGTCTGGTTGCTAAATGTGTTTTATCTGCAACCAGGACAGTTGCTATAAATGACATCCAGGGGGCACCGAGATACGAGTTTAAACGATTGTATTTTCCTCGTTAGAAATAACTAAAACCAGTTCAGTCGTTCCACTCCCACAGAAATATATTATTGAAATTCCCTCGAAAATATAAACATCAAAAACATAGATATAAACAAATATATTGATAATATAAAATAAAAAAAATTAAGAAAAAAAATTATATTATTGTTATAAAAAATAGGTAAAATAACCAGCGAGTGGACAGTGAGTGAAACAGCGCCACACAGTGTCGAGTGGAAAAATGGAGCTGGGTTTGAGCACCAGGAAAATCTTGAAAAATTGGGGGTCCAACTGTATTTGATTTTCCAGACAATAATGGGTTCTCAAACTGTGGCGCTCGTACCACTGGGGGCACTATTTTCCTCGTACAAAAAAAGCATTTTCATTGGTCTTGTTTGAGTCGCTTCTGTGAGCGGAGCTTTGGAACCAGAAGAAACGAAAGTCAGTGCGTTGTTCACAGTGTGTGTATTTATATGTATATACAGTATATATGTATGTATATGTACATATATATTTTAAATGCAAAGTCTTGGCTCAGACTTCCCAGTATGTGTGTGTGTGTGTGTAGCGCAGGTCTAACTGACGCTAACCCACAGATGAATTCTCCAGGAGAGTTGTTTAATTAATTGTACATTTAAGAAAAGCGTGTTCATGGAAATGTCGTTAACGCTCACTGAACGGCCGACGAACGCCGAGCACAAATCACCGCCGCTCCGACGGCTCACTCTCACCTGCCGTTCTGTCTGAGCTTTCAATTAAATTAATTGGACAACCCAATTGGTTCCAAAGGAAGTGAGGCAATCAGCGGGGAGCCGGTGAAACCAAGTGAAAACCAAGAAGCGGTGACGTTTCCTGACCTTCTCTCCCCCATCCTCCCTCCCTCCCTCCCTCTCCTCCCTCCATGTTCTGCTCGCTGCAGATTAGAATCATTCTGTTAAATTTCAAATCCCCGTTTTTCATAATGTACCTCAGCATATTCACGCTGCCTCCAAATCTGCCACGATGCCGTGTCTAAACACCTGTAACAAACGTAAATGTTGCACAGTCATGCCTGTGTGGAAAAACCACCCGTATCACCCCCTCCCTCCCTCCCTGCCTCCCCCCCTCTCTCCTCCCTCCCT